TATCTATTTATATACTTCCAAAATGTCCAACCTCTAGAACTCACCAAATTCACTGGGATTTGAAGTTACTTGCCCACATTATCTTCATGAAAGTAGAAGAGGCATATTTCTCTACAATGATTTTTTAGAAAGGAATAGAAATTACTGTGAATCTTATAAAATGTAATAGTGATGATGTGGCTTTGTTCACAATGAAGTAACAATAAAGTGATGTGACTATTCTTGTCTTAATCTAGCATTTTTTCCTGTTTGGAGGCTTAGGAGCTTAGTTTTTGTGTGTCTCACAATGTATGGCCTTTCCTGGCACAGTGGCAGGTATCTGAAGGGGCAGCTGCTGAAATCCTTGATCAGATCAGAGTTTCCTGCCTATGTAGCATGCACTGGGAGGCATGATTCCTCTCTTACAAGAGGAGACTAGAGGAACAGCATTACCTTTCATCCAGATACATCTGCATGCACACACACACACACACACACACACACTTCTATATCCCTCCCCCCTTGTTATAGTCATGCAAAGGTCCTTGAATATAAATAAAGCTTGCATAGAAAGAGAATGGGTGGCAAGAATCATTTACAGCTTTCTAGTTACAGAAAAGTTAAAAGAAATGAGTATTTTTCCTAGGTTTTAATATTAAGCCAATCTGTCCAAAAGTCAAGTATTTGATAAAACAATTGGGGTAGGGAGATAAAACTCTTGCTAGCAAAGAAAACATTTGTTTGGGCTCTTTATATTTAAGCTAGTATTATATTACTCAATAATAGAGCTCTTTTTTTGAAATATTGGGTTGTCGGAAAAGTTGTGACGCATTTTTGCAACAAAAAAAACAAAAAAATATGTCATGACTTTTCCAACAGCCCAATACAATAGTTAATTTTAAATGCTGACCAATATTATTCTCCTCCCTTCTCTTTTATTTTTTTCCCAAAGATTCTAGGATAGACAGAAAAACTCATTACATATCATTTTCTGATTTTAACTAATTTTAATATTTCATTATAATGGAGAGTGAAAGATAGATGCATTGATCATCTAAAATATTAATTTATCCCCAAATTATTCAAAATTTACTATAATTTTTTCCTTGGTGTCTATATGATGTAGTATATTTAATCTTGGAATTCATGCCATGATGCAGTGTAATCATAGTGACCTGATTTAGGAGAAACTGAGATGATTTTTAAAATTTGCCATCTTGTCCCCATGGGTACTTCCTTCCTGCCTCCCCTCCCCTAAATGTGGCTAATAGATTCTCTTTGAGACCAATATAGTGTTATTTTCTTCTCAACTGCTTCCCTTGTTCTGCTTTGAAAGCACTTAGCAACAAAGTAAATCCTTGAGATAAAAGCTGACATTATTTGAATAACTGTGAAGGTTCGTAAAGCAAGTATTGTCATTTATGTATAGTCAGTGTTAACTATCAGTAAATATGAAAGGCATGTTTTAAGGAACTGATTCTAAAATTAAAAATTAAGAAACTCAAGGATAATATTTGTTAATTATTTAGAATTTAAAATATTACTTGAAATATTAAACTACACTGTGTCTTTATTTGAGACTCTTTACATATTTAGTAGGAAGGTGATTTTCATTATTGCCTGTAGTACTTATGAACTATATGTGTCTTTAATAAGGTCTTTGACATTGAGAATATTTATAATTGCTACCTTTTAAATATAGGAAAACCTCATGGTATTGATTTTTATGTTAATCGTTTAATTTAATCTACTGTCAGGAATTGGGATTTTCAACATCCCTGGTTTGATTAGTAGAAGTCAAATACTTATAATAGATAGAAGGATAGATTTTAATTGAGAGATTAAATGATATTCAGGTTATGTTTAGAAATTCTTTATGCTTAGCACTATTTGATAAGTTGTGTTTTCTCCTGTATTGTTTCCTGAGAATCATATTTGTTAATTATATTTTGCCTTTCTTTCTCATAGTATTTAAACCGAGGCTGCACTAGATACTTTGCTAACAAAGAAACTGACAAACAAATTTTACAGAATCGAAAAAGTCCTGAGGTATAGTAGACTGTTTTTTAAATTAAAATCTTTAATACAAAGATAAATCATGCTGAAAGATATAATTTTTATTTTGGAGTCCAAATAAGATTTCTTACTTTTAGGCTTGTACTTTAGAAAACTAAATACTCATTCAAATCTCTTAGAGTGTGTATAGTACTTTATGCCTATGTTGGTATCCACAAAAGCTATCGGTGCTTTTTCTTCTTGGTTAGGCCTCAACACACTGCCTTCCTTTTGTTCTTTTTCCCAGTGTGAGGGTGTTAAATTGGAGAGAATTATCCTTCTCTCACATTTTTGAAACTTACTCTAATATTACCCATTTGGGATTAAGTGTAAAATATATTCTTTATAACTTGTTGCCTACTTTAAGGCTGAAAGTAAGCTTTGTAGTAGATGCTGAATAGAGTAAGCATTGTTGTGAATTATATTATTGTGTTTCTCTTTAAAACATCATAGTTCTGTGATATATTATGCAAAGTTTTATATCTAGGTCTTACTAAATTATTACATTTTAAAGAGTAATTAGTTATAATTATACCATTATTATTTTAAAAACATAAATCCTTAATCTAAAAATCTACAACTCTTATAAATTTTAATATGCATTATTTAAATAATAAGTGTATTAAGTTATATCTACTCAAGGAGCTTAAGTTATGAAATACTAAGTCAGGATTAATTATAGGGACTTAGTTCATATTGTCTTTATTAATTTTATTAAAAGATTATATTGAATATTTAATTGAACAAGTTTTTATTATACTCAGTTTTTAACGCTCCTGCATTTTGTGAGTCAGATGTTTTGGATTCCTTTCAAAAATGAGTGAGATGAATTATGTCTTTATTACATTCATGGAACAGAAAGCAAATGAAAATTCCCATTATTTTGAAAGCAGATGACCCTACAGTTCATTTTTTTAAAGTTAACATTTTGTTTATTATTTTAGACACATCTGCCTGAATTATAAATTGTAAACTTTACTTTGTTACAATAATGGTTGGAACTTTAAGAAGTAACAATATTTATTAC